AAATTTTAATGAAAATAGAAATTTCGTATGCATTAATTACTGTATTAAGAAATTTTAAATGTTCTTATAAAAGTAATTATCTATTTTTAACATATTTGTAAATCAAGATTTCAAATCAATAGTGTTACATGAATTATTTACTATTATTACATTTTTAGATTTTTACAATATTTTTCTTGGCTTATTAAAATATTATATTTAAAATAAATAAATAAATTTAAAGTTGAATTTTTTGTTCGTTTAAAAATAAGTCGATTAGCAAGAACTATGGAAAATTCAATAAAAATTTAGATTTTACTTTTATTTAAAATATATACAATAATGATAATGTTTAATGCGCTGATTTAAATTATGGAAATGTTTTCTTATAAAGGTATTTATGGAGATTTTTATTATTTATTGAATTTTATCGAAAGAGTTATTTGAAACTCGATTTTCAAGAAAGATAAAAAATTTTTCCGCCTTTCTTGAAATTTATTTGTTCTATATCAGTATCGTCATTTCTGTATTTTTCCTTCGAATCCACAAAATCGAGTCGTGCAATCTTTCCTTTATTTTTGTGCTTTGTTTTAGTTTGAAGCGAAAAACACCAGAGTAACAATAGCAGTTTTTGAAGCGAAAAGAAAAGGAAAACATGCAATTATTGTGCCTTGAAGATATTTGCAAAAGAACGGAAAGGGAGAAAAGAGAGACACACACACACGCATATATATATATATATATATATATATATATATATATACAATGATAAAGCTGGAGATAGAGAAAGAGATAGAGATAGAGGTAGGAATAGAAGTGGAGATAAAGGTACAAATAAATATGCTTCGATGATTATAAGATTGTACATATAAAAATAATTGTTTTAATTATTTAAATATAAATATTGGATACATGTTTATACAATGTTAATTAATTCATATTTAAATATAGGATAAAATAGTTTATCTTAATATATTTTAACTAACTAATAACTACAGTATACTAGACAAATACTAAAATAAATACAAATTTCATTTCAAGATTGTTATATTATATTGGTTATTTTATTGTTAATATTAGATTAGTGGAATTTATTAAAGACTAGATGTGATATATTTAAGATAATATTTCATATTATTATATATATTTATACCAAATACTATTAGATTTAAAATGAGTAAGTATTAATAAAGCAGGGAATATGTTACTAAATAATTATCGTTTAGATAGTTATAAAATGTATTTTAAAATAAATGTTTATTACAAAATATGTTGAACTTACAGTATATCTTACAATATCTAACCCAAATATGATTTGGGTATTAGACTTTGTCCTTTAGAGATATCTCTAGAGATAATTAAATAAAATGTATGAGATTTAATAGAAGTAATTGAGTATTTAAAACAATTAAGAATATAAATATTTAAGACATATAAATATTCATTGTTAAATTATGCGTTATATTCTTTATCAGTACAAGATTAAACAGAGTATAATATTACTTGAAAGATATAGATAGAAAGTTTAGAATCTGATAAGGGAAATGAGAAAATTAATGGGTCATCAACGAAATTATATAAATATTATTATAATTTTGTAATAATATTATTTATATATCGAAGTGCTTTCGATAAAAATAGAAATATTTTTAGAATATAAATCTTATAAATAATATATAAAATATATACTTGCTAAAACTATAATGTAATATTTTTAGTTATACTGCTCTCAGGTACATATTTAATATTTTACTAGAGTAAATTTGACATTCGTGAACGTCAGTCTATTGATTAAATATGATTAGTTGGATTAAGCTATCTTATAATGTCCTTTAATAATACATGGTTATGATTATTTTAATTAATTTTACCAAAATATAAAATAATTTATTCATGCGTATTTTACTAAATATTAATATTTCATTTATTAAAAATTTGTATTATTTAAATAAATAACTCAAATGATTACGAAATGTTTATCTTAATAATCATATGTTATGCAATTTTCGGATATTACAAACTAAATATTTACAAAGTTCAAGTAATCTATCCTCCTTTTAAAATCATTAAAATTTAATATTACTTCAGTAACGCAAAAACAAAAATATCTGCAGTATGAGATTACAAATTTGAAATTAACTTGTGTACGTAACGACTGCTTTCAAGCAGATTGCGATGTATACTAATTATCGTGACGTACAGGACATAACAAATTTCTAACAAAATATAATATAATAAAAGAACTAACAACGCCATTTTACTGACTTTTAATGTAGTCTATGGCCGACTATGCGTTCGCTTATTTCACTGGAATGACCTGTGAGATCGTAGGCAACGAATGATCGTCGTAAAGAGTTTAACAGCAGTGCGCTGAAAACGGGGAATGAAAAGTTTTCTTTAAGACCTTTACGGAATCGTTTATTGGACGATTTTAAGGTGCAGAGCTATAAAAAGTGCTTGAAAGATCCTTACTCTATCTACTGTAGGCCTGTTGGTGTTGGATTTGGTCCCACAAAGAGCTCGGGAAATGACAATGAATAGTCGAGATTGTTTGTCAAATTAAAAAATTAATTTTTCTTTTTTACATTTAACAACTTAATTACTCTATTGGAATAGATATTTATAGTTTTCAAAGTAAGTTTTTGAAAAGAAAAATTTTTTTTTATTATATTTAGTACTTTATTTCTGAGATTTAGAGATGATCAAGAATCATTATTTTGAAGCAATTGTGTGTTTTTACAATAATTGTCTACACTACATCAAATTTTAGTAAAATTACTCTTATGTATAAAGTAAATTTCTTTTTTCTTATTTCAAATTAATCTACTATTTTTTTTCGATTTGAGGTTCAAATATATAAAAATTCCTATAATTATAATTTGATTAATGAAAATATTTTAATTATTTACTATAAATATATATAATTTCATATTTTAAATGTATTTGTTTACAATATTTTTACATTATTATTTACAATATTACATAATTATCCATTACGAATTCTCAATACTTCCAAAATTATTTCGAACGTTGGAGCCGATTATAAATATGAAATCAGTCAGTCCGACTCTTACAGTGCTACATCATATTCTATTTGGAATGTTCAATGTTTTCTAATTAATATAGGATACCGAACGTATAGTTTGGAAAAAATAGTAATTTTGATGCATTATCATAAAAGAAAACAGTGTATTGATAACAACACGGATTTCTATTTAATATTGAGCCAAGTGAATAATCCAATATGCGATGGTCTATATTAGAATATACATAGTGGGACAGTAAAATAATAATGATTAAGTGAAATTATTTACTGATAAACATTATTGCCATAAAGTATTTATTGTGTATTAATAATATATGATTGTTGTATCGCGAATCTCTCTCTCTCTCTCTCTTTTCTAAGAACTCTTTGGTTTTACTTTATTACATTATTGTGATTATTGTTAGCAAACTTATATTATAATAAGATTAGGAAAAATAATATTGTTTGGATAATATTGTTAGGTAATTAAATTTAGCAATTAATATAATACATTATAATCGGATTACACTATTTGATGTACTTCTTACTAGAATATATTTTAAAACAAATAAAAATCACTTAGATATTAAATATTTCTATATTCCCTCCAATTTTGTTGTAATTATTATAATACATAATCTATTACCATACGTGCTAAGGTCTTGAATATGTAGTCCTGATTTAAGCAGATAATAATAAAAAGGAAGATAACATCATATCTTCATTAAAAAGAATATTGACACAAGATAGTCAATTGATAAAGGCATGTTGATCAGTACAGTTATTGTAAATTGTATAGTAATTATAAATTTATATATAGTACTATATTTTTAGAATAATTATTTGTTTTAAGATAAGTATTTAAACGTAATTGTATTGCTATTATGTTTTACTTTAATATATTATTTTCTAGGATAAAACGCAATCTATATTCATTAAAGATAATAATAAAACAAAATACTAAAATTTTCATGAAATTATTGTGAAATAAAAAAACTAGGAAAAATTAAATTTTTATATTTCTAGGAAATAATAGTTAATAATCAAATGACTTGTAAAGCTAATATTTTAAATAATATTTCTTAGTTTACTTATTAATAATTAACGTCTATTTTATTGTCAATAATTGATATTTATTCTTCTAAGAGTAACACAAAGACTTTAACATTATAATTGTCACTTTTTATTTAAAATAATTTTTATTATGGTTATCTAATCAAGTGTGCAATACAACTAGGAGAAATTTTTAATTGTCAAAATTGTTTGTTTTGTTCGTCATAAACCGGCAATTAATTTGTTTGTATATTGTAATTGAGTTTGTTGACATTGTTTATAAAATATATTTCACATTATTATTAAATTAAATTCAAATATTTCTGCGTGAGCGCTTTTGTATTTATTTAATTATAAGTAATATTATAACGTATAATGTATGCGTAGTTTCAAACAAACTTAGTACGATAATGATGCTTTTATAATCATAATTACCGTAAAATCATAATAAATCTTTGATATGCATATTTATGTAAAAAACTTAATTGCAATATTTATATACTACGTGTCTCTTAAAGAATATAGTATTTCCTATATTTATATCAATATTTTTATGTTTATCATGTTTTTGATTAGTATTTATTTATTGAATAATATAAATTAATTTGACTATAATTTATTCTTATAAATATAATTGTGCTCTATTAAATTAATTATATAGATGTAGGTAAAATTAAAATTACAATAATAACAATAATTATTTATATTATTATTTTGTAACTTATCTATGGAATTTTTTCAAGACAAATATCGCTGTTAAATTAGTTAGGGTATTAAAGACTATAAATTTATCTACAACAGTTGCTTTTTAATCTGATTATCGTTTAAAATAATAAATATTTCAAGTATTTAGGAAAAATGGGTTTTAAATTATAATATTAAATGGGCTGAATTAATTGTTGTTATTGTACATAAAGTTTATTTCAGAACGAATTATTCGAAAATTTATAATCCTTTAATGCATAACATAACAGGTCCATAAATTTCAACAGTAACTTTACCAGATAAAATTGGATACACTTCTGTTTTCAATACAGCATCAATTAGTGTCTGTGATGAAGTGTTTATAAAGTCGATAGCCTTTTGACTGTGATCTACTTCTCCTGAATATTCATTCGTAAGTCTACATTTTTCCATATTATCTTCGCAAAATTTAATTTCAACATCTAAGTTGGACCCTTGAATATTTTCAGAAATACTCTGAAGCGTCTGAAAATTACAAGCAATTATATATGTTTAATCATTATATTTGTTTATATTTTTAATTTTATAATATAGAAAATAGATATGTACCAGACTTATGGAATTTAATGTTAATTTATCAATATTTAATTGTTCAGTTATTTTCTTTCTCAATAGATCTTTCAATTCTTGTATGACGACGTTTACTTTTTCATCTTTAAGTTGTATGCAAGTTGAAATCCCTTTTTTCAGTTCATATTGTTTTAAAATGCTCTTAAAATTGAATAACAGAAAATTTAGTTAATAATGTAAAAACGTAGGTTGTATAGATATTTTATAAAAATAACTTTTCTATTGTACATAATTGATTGTTGAATAAACTGTGTTATTGTATAATGTACTATAAACAAAAGAATAAAAATTTTTTATTAAAATAAAAGTATATAAATAGTTTCTTACTTCTAATTCAATTATTTTAGGATTCTGTGGTATTTCAAAGTTTAATGTATCTGTTTTCTGGTTTAATGTTGCTTGTTGATTATCCAATTGAGTCAGAATATCGTTTACATTATCTTTTAACATGTTTGAACGTTTTAATAGATCAGATGCAACTTGACGAAAATCCGTATTTGGTTTTGAGTTCTGTAAAAAATGATATTAGAACTTATATAGTTAAAGTATTTTTGATATTTAAGATAATATTTTTATAAAGAAATGTATAAGATTTCGCTGAAATTTAGATCATATATTAAAATATGTATTAGATTTATTCAACTTTTGAATAAATGTAATACCTTATGTATTTTTCCTAAGTATTACTATACAAATTTATATTGTAGTTTCATGGATAGTATAAAAAGGAGAATCGTTATAATCTGTTTAGTTAAGAAAACTTTGTATGTTTAAAAAATAACTACGTATATGTATCATTATTTTCATAATTGTTTGTTTAGTTTGATTATATAAGATTAGATTGATCACAATAATTTACGTATTTTAAACCAATTGTGAACCTTAACGATATTTCGAATTTATGTTTTCAGTTACACACATTCTTTTGTTATATTTTGTTTAAAAACTTTTAAAATCCATTTTTACAAATAATTAAAAATTGGAATTATTGAAATAGAATGATGATTATTGACGCAATTTTTATATTATAGTATATTAAATAATATTTTTGAATTTTAATATTCAACTAATAATTTGATATTGAAATTAAAATAATAAACTGAAATGAATTTATTTTTTTGGTTAAAAAATTGTTTATTTTGTTTAGTATTCTTTCAAATCAATTTATCGTTAACATTAAATACTTTATTGCATTGTTATTTACATTTATATCTACACATACCTGCTCACGGACACATACACACGTATTTATAAATTTTCTTTATATTATTTTACTATTTAAAACTATTTTAAAACTTACTGCTCTTGTTAATATGGTTACACAAATTAGAGAGATTGTAAGAAGCGTGTTCATTGTGTAATATAATATATTAAATTTTATGAAAATTGTAAACCTTACAAATAAAGTAATTAGTACTCTATTTTTCGATTGCAGAGTAATGAAATAATGCGTAGGTTGTGTGCTGATATGGTATTTATATTCATAAAAATAATGCTATAAATTAGATACCATTCAAAATTGTCAAATAAGTAATCAAACTGAATTAATTTCAATACTTTATCAAAAATTTTAATTTCATAAATTTTACGTAGTATAAATATTGTTGATAAATATTATAAGCATATTTTCTTTGTAATAAACCAGGTTTTTGTTAATCAATATGACTAACATGTTATTATTCCACCTCGGAGTCGGGATTATATTACATTTTTATTTAATCAAAGCAAATAAAAGGACCATTTATAAATAGTATAATAACAAATTAGTAAATATCAGTATAACTCAGTAAATAGAAACTTATATAACCGTAATTGTTTTTATTAAAAATTTTGTAGGTAATAAAAATAATTAGCTTATTAATGTAATTACGTAAGATTAAATTACAATTTATAAAATACTAAATAGATAGATTTCAATCACTATCATATTTATATTTTAATCTATGAATTTATAATTATTTGATTTCTGAATATCATTAGTATATCAAATTAAGATGATGATAATCAATATGAAAAAATTATAATTACTATTTTGTTTAAGGTTAATATGTAATATAATGGTAATATTATTTGGAAGTAGTATTAAATATAAATCTGCATGTTACAGAAATATTAAATATTCAAATGTGCGTATTAAAATATTTTACCGCCGTTTTTGATAGTATCATTTGATCCGTAAATATATTCAATCTTATAATATTTAATTAAGATTGTATGATTTGTTAATAGAATTTTTACATCATATTGACATTTAAGTAACGTGAAATTAGAAGTATAGTAGAATTAAATAAGCAAGCAATCGAAGGAACGCATTAAATACAACAATTAGTGAAACTAATGTAATAAATGAGAACTTAAAAATTATCTAAATTTTGCTTAGTATTTGCTTATTGACAAATTTAAAATAAATGCATTTTAAATTATATATAATAAATTATGACAAGAAAATAATATTATATTCACAGCATACATTAAATTAAGTTTTTTTATTTTAACTCAGTTAAGAGGTTTAATTATATTCGGCAGCTAAGTGTATTGAAATCCCCAATTACTACAATTATTATTTATTTAAATATTCACTGAAGTATATCAAAATTGTTTTGATTTCTATCAAATCAAATAAGCGAAATTGTTATTATTTTAACATGTATTATTTAAATTTATTTTATAACACTAAATTGTATAGTCAGCAGTTTCATATTATCTGATATTCAGGTTATGTACAATCCCCTTTTTTAACAGTTTCAAATTTGAAAAAGTAAGCTTTATGATGTCCTTAAAAATTAACTTATAGAGAATTATAGAGAATTAATTATCAAAATTATTAAGTAATATGTACGAAAAATTAGGTAATGAACTTGAAGTAAGTTACTTTTTATGCTGTGCAAATAAAAATAATCATTTAGAATAAAAACTAATGGAGAATTTTTATAAATTATTGCGTATTGGTTATATCGAATATTCATTGTTTAAATTAAATATAAGAAAATGCTTATCTATTTATCAAATACAGTAAAACAATCAGGCAGTTATTAAACGTAAATAAGTATAATATAGTAGATTAAAATTTTCATTATTTACAGTACTTTAATCAATAATATTTATTACATTAATAATAATATAAAGAAAATGTTATCTTTAGTAAAATAAATTAATTAATGCGGGGTACAATAAAAACATTTAACGTATGCAATGATATTTACGTCTTACAAAAACATTATTCCTACAAAAGTTAATATGTACCGTGACAATACTCCCTTCTTTATTAATCTTGCGTCTGATTATTTTCCAGTCTCGCTTCGTGCGTCACGAGATTTCCAACAGTTCAAGCCACAAATAGTCGATGAAGAGCTAAAAAGAATAAAGACAAGGAAAACGCAGCTGCACCCCTTTGAGCAGAAGTCGCTACCATGTCGTTTTAACAAATGGACATCATTTTTTTGTTTATCAAATCCTCTATTGTGTTCTTTTCTCGGATAGAACCTAAGGAAGATCTTCAACATTTTACATTTGTCACCGAAACTAAAAGCAGTGAGTCTCAATATCGAAGCTTCTCCTTGATATTAATTCTTTTCGGAAAACACAAATTACATTTCCTAGGATAAGCGATCAGTGACACCAACAATAATCGGGAACAAATCAATCATACGGAGCACCCTTGACCGTGAACAAGCGCGACTATAAGCATTGGTTTACTTACTTATTTGTAAGTTTTAATAGGATAACGAAATACTTATTGATTATTGCGTGGTTTATTTATTAAAAAAAATTAATTATAAAAAAATATCAATACATTAGCAATATTCTGCATTTTTTGGAATAAAAGAGGAAAAATAATTGATATAATTGTGTAATAAATATTTTAATAAAAAAAAGGAATAAGTACAATATTCATTGTCCTTGGTATTTAATCTTAATTATTATACCTTATCACTTCGTTATTATGTATACTTCGTTGAATATATAATAACATATTTATACAATTGTATTTTTTTTTATAAAGTATGAATATACTTTAATAGTCAAATATTTATTATTAAACTTAATGTATTAAACAAATCGCAATTAGTCGAAAATATATTTGAAAAAGTTTTGTAAAGTGCTAAAAAATATTTACAATATAAGAAATGGCTTAATATGGTAATATAATAATCTATAATTATTGAAAAGAAAAATTTTCTTTATTATATTATCAATGCATTGGATAATATGTTTATTTCAATAATTTACATTATCATCTGCTTAATTCTATCATAAAAATTCTATTTTCAAAATATTATGTTCTAAACAAATAAGCGTCAATAATAATTAGCAGTAAAAGTATTATTTAGGAATTTTATATGTATTATTACATTACTGAATTATCAAATCAATCATCTACTACATGATTGTCAATGTAAATTGCAAATATTTTTGTATTTTAACTTAATTATGCACATACTATTTTGATTTTTTCTCATTCAATAAATTAAGTCATATCGAACATTTACGAAGGATATTGTTAATTTCAATAAATTTATTTCTAAATAAAAGGCTGCTTGTCATTCTTTTATTTTAACTTTTCCAATGCTCAGTAATAAATTAAGAAATATTATAAATACATAATTTTTTATTTTTAATTATAATAAAACATATCATAATTCATTTTGTACATTGCATTATTTAATAATGCTAAATATAAAAAAAGCTGATTTATTTAATTAGTAATATATTATTGTGTAACATAAATTTATACTCATACAAAATATATGTAAATATAAATAAATAATTTCTTTTTATATTAATATATAATTTTTTCTTATGATACGAAAGATTTTATCATTTCTAAATACTTCTAAAGAAATTTATTTAAAAAGTATAAAAAGGTATTCAATTTTATATGACTTATATTTGATTATCATTGTTTATTAAGAAACTTCATTAAAGAAATATTTTAATAAAAATATTCATTAAGATAAATTATATAAAAGTTATTTCCTTTAAGCATTCAGTTATAGTCATATTATTTAGTTTTAATATGAAATATAATAACATTTAATTAAGGATTAATAATTTGTGCTAAATAAAAAATTATGTATTAATTTTCAAAATATATTAAAATAAAAACATTTTCTCTTAATGAATTAATAATATAAATGTTAATATTAATGTTAATGTTAATAAATTAATAATATAAATGATAAGCTAAATGATTATGAATCATTATAATAAATATTTACATTCTATTTTTTTGGTAAATGAAATAACGTCGAATAATTATTTAGTTTTAAATTTAACTTGCGTAAAGTTTTTAAATAATATATAAAATAATATTGAATATTATATCAGATATTGTAATAAATTTTAATACAAGTACCGAATGTTGCAATAATTAATATATTAATTTGAATAATTGAATTGTTTATTTTATTACTATTAATAAGTTACCTTATATTAGAAATAATAAAATGATTTATAAGTTTGTCTCATCTTAGGTATCTCTCATTGCATAGTATTTGCAAGATTCTGTAATCTGTAATCTCAAATATCTATAGTATAAAATTTTGTCTTATAATATAATTTTATTTGGTTGATACGATTATTGAGGTTTTATATATAATTATATAATTTATTATAGTTTATAGATTATTTTCAAAAATATGGAATTGAATTAGAATTTTATGATCATTCGTTTAATTTTTTGAAAAATAAATAGTATTTTTTATACTTTGATTTGTTTGATACAATGCATTACGGGTTTATAAATTATATTAGTAATTTGACTACATAACATTGGATTGATAATTCCTTGTAAGACTAATTGTATTAGATTCTTTAGAATATGATTCATAGAATTTATAATTTCCTCGCCATTGTTGATATCGCTTGGATATTGAATTTTAAGTCTACAATTTGATGGATTATTAATACAAAATTTGATTTCTTCATTTAAATTTGGTTCTTGTATACTATTAAAAATATTTTCGAGAGTCTAAAAATTAAATTTTTCATATAATTAAGAGTTGTAATATTTTTAACGTTAAAAACAGTTATGTACCTTATGTACACTAGATAGAGTAACTCTATATTTCTCTAGTTGTCTATGTACTTGTCGTGTGAATTTCATTCTTAATTCTTGTAGGAGAGCTTCCGTTTTATCATTTTTTAGATTTTCACAAACTGTGATATTGTTCTGTTTTTCATGATACTTTAGAATAGTCTGAAAATAAATTTTTCGTATAAGAAAAGATATTATTATGTAAAAATAGAATTGAAAGAAATTTTAACTGCACTAGTGCGTGAAATATATGTTATGTAAACCATGGATTTATACAATTACATAAAATTTTGAAGAATATTACTCTAATTACTTTTTAATTCTTATATTTTATGAAATAAAAATATTAATAATTTAATACATACTTCTAGTTTAACTATTTCTGCATGGTT